TATATATATATATATATATATAATTTTTTTTTTAGGGAGTTTCTGAACATCAGCAGCTCACCACAACCCCGCTGCTTTGCCATGGTGCTTTGCAACCCCGTTGGAGGAATGAGACATGGGGCTCAGCCCCTTCACTCCCTGTGGTATAAGCGATGCTGCCATCAGCCAAGGACCAGCCTTCAAAGGCGAGATCCACCCCCCAGTGCAAGGCACTGGTTTAACTGGGAGCACTTGGCCGGAGACGCATCCCTGCCGAGGCAGTCCAGGCACGAGCGAGGAGTTTGCTCATCCCCCTGTGCCGTCACGTGGCTGCCCGGTGTTTTGGCGTTTTGATTACATACGATACTGTGTATTTAAGACTGGTTTATGGGTGTTTATACTAATGCGTAAACCTGTAATTTAGAAGCTCAGTTATAAATCAACGTCGCTGAAGGTCTTGTCCCTCATGCCTTGAGATCAGTCTCCAGATTTAGAAGACAGGTTAGAGAAAAAAAAAGAAAAAAGAGGACTGTTTAGTTTTCCTCTGGTTATGGGATAAAGGATCACGGGATGGGATACGACCGTGTCCCGTGCTGAGGCGTGGCAGCTGGGCACAGGGACCCACCGGTGTAAGTGAGCAGAGAGTTTCCATTTTGACTCTGCCCTTACAACAGCCTTAAGAGAGATTTGTGTTTACATGGCAAATCCCAGCCAGGACAGAAAAGTGGTGCCACAGCTGCTGAGCCGATGCTCGTGGGAGGGTGGTGGCATCTCACGAGCGACGTTCTCGGCTTGTGCCGGGACGTGGGCTGCAAAGACCAGAGCCCCTTCCCGTTTGGCACTGCAGGTGAGGAGGAGCAGCCTTCATCCCCAGGAGCTCCTGGCACAGACTAGGGCTGGCAGGAGAGCCAGGACCCTCCTCCAGCGGCAGTGCCGAGCAGGATAGCACACTCCCACTGTGGGTCGTGGGCCTCTCCCGATACATCCTAACAAGGGCACCTCTGCATTTGTGTTTTTATATTTAAAATCCTTTTACAGCTTTAATAATTGTTTCTGCACCTTTGCCCCTGGTTTTGCATTACTGGTTTGATTCGGGATGTGCTGTGTGTTATAAGAGCTGGTCATGTCAGTGCAAGTGCTCTTCCACTGGATTTCTTATCCAACTGGGCTATGACAGAGCCAGTTGTCCCTGTTGAGAAGCCCCTTTTAGCCACCCCAGGCAGACGAGAGCCACACAGACTCCCCTGGATCCTGGTTCACCTGCAGCCACCGTGCAAACGTTGGAGATTTGTGTTGGGTGTAACCGGCATCTGTCCTTCAGCTGATGCTGGTCTCCTGCTCCCCTGGAAGGGGTCAGTTCCCGCATGGGTGTAGGACCCCGACGCTTTGCATGGGGGACCCGCTGGCAGCAAGGGCCAAGGGTTGTGTGTCTTTGTAAGGAAAGCATCACTAGACCCAGGGACTCCTCAGCATCCTCCTGTCCAGCTGCCATCCCTCCTCTCCACAGCGAGACGGCAGCGGGTGCCTTGGCTTAGCTGGATGTTTTCCATCTCCTCCAGCCCCCTTTATTGTATCTTTAGGGGTTATTAGTACAAAAGGGGACACGAGGGGCTGCAGGGGCAGCACGGCGGGTGGGAAGGACTCCGTGGGTAGAAGAACCCCTGGGGCTGTGGGACCTCACATCCCTGGACAGGTGGAATCACCGCACACCTTCCTCCTTGGCCCCGCTCCCGGCTCCCAGCCTTATCTCCCGCTGCAGTTTCCTGGCTGGCGATGCCTTTCCTGGCTCAGGGAGCAGAAACACCCCAGAAGAGAGATGGTGCCAGCAGCTCCCAGCACAGGCACAGTCACGAGGTGTTGCAGGGGACCCCCTGCACCCCCGGAGTGCCAGCTGCAGGGAGTCAGGCCACAAGAGGCTCCTGCAAGCAAACAAAACCCCCCTAAATATTTCAGAAAGGTCTTTTTCTTCCCCCCTTCACGCTTATTTCCAGTGCCCCCTAGAAGAGCTGCTCTCCAGTCCCGCTTTCCACCAGCCCAGCCCCCCAAGACATTCCCACAGCCAGCGAGCCCAACCAGGTTGTGCCATCTGCAAACTTTTTTTTTTCTTCTATATATGTATTTTTTTCCTGCCCCTTTTCCACCCATTGCCTTTTCCCATGCCGCACGCCTCCCCCCTGTC